TTAACAAATGCCAAACAAATTCGCAATTAACATAAACAACTCAGTATTGAAGATCAGATAAATTTAAACATTGGAATGTCTGTTTGTAAAATGTTTAACAAGAAATAAATTTTAATTCATTTGAAAAATATAAAATCCCAAAAAAAACCAAAGAAAACGATGAAAGTAAACAGCAAGTGTTAAAGCTGAAGTGTGGTAAAAGACGACCTAAAAAGGCCTTATAGTAGATACTGAAGTAAAAGTTTTTAAGAACAAAAAGATACATTTCATAAACTTAAAATCTCCCAGTTATACTATTTCTCCAATGAACAACTTTCATTCTTATACCATCTGCCTTAATAAACTCCCACCTCATGCATTGCTCTATGTAGGGTACTCTAACATTACATAAACTTACAAACATATAAAAAACATTTTTATTACCATCTTTTAATGAAGATAACGCAGTAAATTTATACGCATGTGAACACCAAACAAACAGAAAAGACACAAAAACACTCATTTAATACAGTATCAGCATAGACTAGTACTACTCCAGAGCTAACAACAACATTTCGAGGTGAATGTCGAGTTTCCTATTAGCGCACAGTAAACACTGTAGTTGATTTTCTTAGATTTCTAACGCGTGGTGTAGTGAGACACATGTGAAGTGTAGTCTTGAACTTATAAAAAAAATAATTGTTAATTTTTCGTATGTTAAGGTAAAAAAAAGTAAAAAAAACACAGTCATTGTAGGAAATGAAACTAACAGAGAGACAATGGGACAGACAGATAGACATACTACATAACAACTACAGTTTAATCTTTAAAATCTGAATGAGAAGTTGTTTAAAGTTAAGGTATAAAGTCATGAAGTCAAACACCTTTTGGTATTATGCTGTTTTTTTAATTTTAAGTCACACTTTAGGTGTCATTGCTATTTGAGGTGGTCAAATTTTTTTATGAAAAATTTTACATTTTTTTATAAAAAATTTAACATTTTCGGAGGTAAAGAGTGTCTCAGTTTGTGAGAAGTTTTCTATAGAAAAAGTGTCTGAATTACTTCAAACTTTTCTATAGAAAAAGTGTCTGAATTACTTCAAACTTTTCTATAGAAAAAGTGTCTGAATTACTTCAAACTTTTCTATAGAAAAAGTGTCTGAATTACTTCAAACTTTTCTATAGAAAAAGTGTCTGAATTACTTCAAACTTTTCTATAGAAAAAGTGTCTGAATTACTTCAAACTTTTCTATAGAAAAAGTGTCTGAATTACTTCAAACTTTTCTATAGAAAAAGTGTCTCAGTTACTGAGAACTTTTCTATAGAGAAAGTGTCTCAGTTACTTCAAACTTTTCTATAGAAAAAGTGTCTCAGGTTACTGAGAACTTTTCTATAGAAAAAGTGTCTCAGGTTACTGAGAACTTTTCTATAGAAAAAGTGTCTCAGGTTACTGAGAACTTTTCTATAGAAAAAGTGTCTCAGGTTACTGAGAACTTTTCTATAGAAAAAGTGTCTCAGGTTACTGAGAACTTTTCTATAGAAAAAGTGTCTCAGGTTACTGAGAACTTTTCTATAGAAAAAGTGTCTCAGTTACTTCAAACTTTTCTATAGAAAAAGTGTCTCAGTTACTTCAAACTTTTCTATAGAAAAAGTGTCTCAGTTACTTCAAACTTTTCTATAGAAAAAGTGTCTCAGTTACTGAGAACTTTTCTACAGAAAAAGTGTCTCAGTTACTGAGAACTTTTCTATAGAAAAAAGTGTCTCAGTTATTGAGAACTTTTCTATAGAAAAAGTGTCTCAGTTACTGAGAACTTTTCTATAGAAAAAGTGTCTCAGTTACTGAGAACTTTTCTATAGAAAAAGTGTCTCAGTTACTGAGAACTTTTCTATAGAAAAAGTGTCTCAGTTACTGAGAACTTTTCTATAGAAAAAGTGTCTCAGTTACTGAGAACTTTTCTATAGAAAAAGTGTCTCAGTTACTGAGAACTTTTCTATAGAAAAAGTGTCTCAGTTACTGAGAACTTTTCTATAGAAAAAGTGTCTCAGTTACTGAGAACTTTTCTATAGAAAAAGTGTCTCAGTTACTGAGAACTTTTCTATAGAAAAAGTGTCTCAGTTACTGAGAACTTTTCTATAGAAAAAGTGTCTCAGTTACTGAGAACTTTTCTATAGAAAAAGTGTCTCAGTTACTGAGAACTTTTCTATAGAAAAAGTGTCTCAGTTACTGAGAACTTTTCTATAGAAAAAGTGTCTCAGTTACTGAGAACTTTTCTATAGAAAAAGTGTCTCAGTTACTGAGAACTTTTCTATAGAAAAAGTGTCTCAGTTACTGAGAACTTTTCTATAGAAAAAGTGTCTCAGTTACTGAGAACTTTTCTATAGAAAAAGTGTCTCAGTTACTGAGAACTTTTCTATAGAAAAAGTGTCTCAGTTACTGAGAACTTTTCTATAGAAAAGTGTCTCAGTTACTGAGAACTTTTCTATAGAAAAAGTGTCTCAGTTACTGAGAACTTTTCTATAGAAAAAGTGTCTCAGTTACTGAGAACTTTTCTATAGAAAAAGTGTCTCAGTTACTGAGAACTTTTCTATAGAAAAAGTGTTTCAGTTACTGAGAACTTTTCTATAGAAAAAGTGTCTCAGTTACTGAGAACTTTTCTATAGAAAACGTGTCTCAGTTACTGAGAACTTTTCTATAGAAAACGTGTCTCAGTTACTGAGAACTTTTCTATAGAAGAAGTGTCTCAGTTACTGAGAACTTTCTATAGAAAAAGTGTCTCAGTTTGTGAGAACTTATCTATAGAAAAAGTGTCTCAGTTAGTGAGATCTTTTCTACAGAAGAAGTGTCTCAGTTAGTGAGAACTTTTCTATAGAAAAAGTGTCTCAGTTTGTGAGAATTTTTCTATAGAAAAAGTGTCTCAGTTTGTGAGAACTTTTCTATAGAAAAAGTGTCTCAGTTTGTGAGAACTTTTCTATAGAAAAAGTGTCTCAATTTGTGAGAACTTCTCTATAAAAAAAATGTCTCAGTTTGAGAGAACTTTTCTATAGAAAAAGTGTCTCAGTTTGTGAGAACTTTTCTACAGGAAAATCCTATTTACGGGAAAAGTGTCTCAGTTACTTAGATCTTTTCTATTGGAAATGTATATTTTCTATAAGAGAAGAGTGTGTCATCTACGACCTTTCTTTCTCTCATTCTGAAAACTTTACTATGGAAAAGATGTATGACTTAAAGAGAACATTTCTGGGAATAAAGGAAAACCTTCTTGTATGAAATGGAAAATTTGTTTATGGAAGAAAAATCAAAGTTTCCAAAGTGTTCAACATTTAGTACCACCCTACTATTTTTAACCTTATTTAAATTAGAAACTTAGTGCAGTTGTTATGTTGATTTTATTGTAAAACTTTAAAGGCCTGACTTCTTAATTCGAGAGTCCCAGTGTGAACAATTTTAATGACTATTCGCCTATCGAACCATCGGTGTTCTTTAACTAAAGAACTTTTGATTTTTTTTTTTTTTTTTCATCATAAAAGCAAAAGTTATATTTTTTAAGTAAAAGAAAAAAAGCAAACATTAAAATAAAGTTGTTGATTTCATTAGTAAATCCTATGTGTTCTTTAGGATTCTTTAGCGGACATTTAAATAAAAAGTTATCGTAAAAACAATTTAATGTGCATGTAGCATGCTTTTAAGCACTTTTGATAATATTGTTATTTTTCAAATGTCTAGTGTTTATTTAAGATTTTTGGATGATTTTCTTAGTTGTGTAGTTGTTAATTTTCTTTGGTGAAATGTTTTTGAGCATTCTTTAGCTGGTCATTTAAATAGTTTCGTTTGCTAGTAAAAATTTGTTTAATTTAATTGTTTTTTAAAGAGCATTTAAATGGTTTTAATTAAAACCATTTTCATGTTTAGAATGATAATTGCTAGTTTCAGTTGTAGTTTCTAGTTAAAGTAAGTAATTTTTTTTAATTATTATTCTTATGTTGTGGTTGAAAAACTTTTATAGAACTTTTAGTTTTAAAACTTTTTATTTCTTTTTCAAAACCCGCTACTTTTTATCTATTAATAGCTAACTCCCCTGGTCTCTATAAAAATAAATTCTACATAACAAGTTTGTTTTCTAAGTCTTTTGTTTTTGAAAGAAAAACTTTAGTTTTTTTCACAAAAATCGTTACTTTTATTCACTTTTATGCAATTCTAATCATGTTTTTACATAATTCTACAACAAAAAAATTTACAAATTTTCCCCCTTATATTAAAAAAATACTCACTATTTCTCTCACTATTTATTTTATTGTTTCTCCAAAGGAGAGGGGGAATAACAAATTATAAACGTGACTCATGTTGATGAAGAAAAAGCAACAGCAGACAAGAACACCACCATCACCAAGAAAACCATTCTAATATTGCATAAATTTTAAGTAGATTGTATAATTTTAACAAATTTCCACATGTAGCAATTGTTAAGGAAATCAATTCTCAAAACAAATTTACAAACCAAAAATTTCACCACTACCGACAGAAACCAGCTACAGCAGCAGCATAAGTATGCAAGTAGGAAATAAACAAATTTTGTGAATAAACTTTTACGGCAGATTTTTATTTGTTTGTTAACAAATGATAAACAAATCATTTCATTGCACGCCTTAACTATAATGGCTTGCCTGCAGAGTTCTTTAGAAGTAACAGCCAAAACGAAAAAAAAAACTTGTTGAAAATTTCTAACATTCAAACGAAACGTGTGTGTGTGTTAAACGAAAATCTATACCAACTAACTGCGGATGTGTGGAGGAGTTTATATGATTTCCACCTATGATGACTACTTGTTGGCATATAATTTCCATAATAATTGAAAAGCTCAAGAACAGCTCATGAACAAAAGTAACAAATTTTTATTGTGGTAATATTAATGTACAGTGAAAAAGAAAATTCACACATTTTGTATTATTTTTTCTTCTCATACAAACTAATAAAATTTCATAATTTTATTAACTTTTTCTATTTGTCATTTTTATTATTTTAGAATTGCACCACGTTTATTGTAATAAGGCTTTTATTTTGGTAGAATTGCCTTTGACATCAAATAATTCTGATCATTTTCTTAATACAATTTATTGGGAGAATTTACATTCGTATGCGCCGAAAGAGTGTCAGCCATTGTATCGTGAACGTGAAATCATTTTGAAAGTTTTCTTTAATGATTTAAGCAAATGTGGATTTTCGAGAAGTGTTAACAAATTGAGGGTAAGTTAATCAAATAACAAAATTTTTTAAAGTGCCCTACTAACTTAGTTCTTACTACTTACTTACTACTAGAACTGAACAGAACTAGAAGTGAACTAGAACTGAACTAGAACTGAACTAGAACTGAACTAGAACTGAACTAGAACTGAACTAGAACTGAACTAGAACTGAACTAGAACTGAACTAGAACTGAACTAGAACTGAACTAGAACTGAACTAGAACTGAACTAGAACTGAACTAGAACTGAACTAGAACTGAACTAGAACTGAACTAGAACTGAACTAGAACTGAACTAGAACTGAACTAGAACTGAACTAGAACTGAACTAGAACTGAACTAGAACTGAACTAGAACTGAACTAGAACTGAACTAGAACTGAACTAGAACTGAACTAGAACTGAACTAGAACTGAACTAGAACTGAACTAGAACTGAACTAGAACTGAACTAGAACTGAACTAGAACTGAACTAGAACTGAACTAGAACTGAACTAGAACTGAACTAGAACTGAACTAGAACTGAACTAGAACTGAACTAGAACTGAACTAGAACTGAACTAGAACTGAACTAGAACTGAACTAGACTGAACTAGAACTGAACTAGAACTGAACTAGAACTGAACTAGAACTGAACTAGAACTGAACTAGAACTGAACTAGAACTGAACTAGAACTGAACTAGAACTGAACTAGAACTGAACTAGAACTGAACTAGAACTGAACTAGAACTGAACTAGAACTGAACTAGAACTGAACTAGAACTGAACTAGAACTGAACTAGAACTGAACTAGAACTGAACTAGAACTGAACTAGAACTGAACTAGAACTGAACTAGAACTGAACTAGAACTGAACTAGAACTGAACTAGAACTGAACTAGAACTGAACTAGAACTGAACTAGAACTGAACTAGAACTGAACTAGAACTGAACTAGAACTGAACTAGAACTGAACTAGAACTGAACTAGAACTGAACTAGAACTGAACTAGAACTGAACTAGAACTGAACTAGAACTGAACTAGAACTGAACTAGAACTGAACTAGAACTGAACTAGAACTGAACTAGAACTGAACTAGAACTGAACTAGAACTGAACTAGAACTGAACTAGAACTGAACTAGAACTGAACTAGAACTGAACTAGAACTGAACTAGAACTGAACTAGAACTGAACTAGAACTGAACTAGAACTGAACTAGAACTGAACTAGAACTGAACTAGAACTGAACTAGAACTGAACTAGAACTGAACTAGAACTGAACTAGAACTGAACTAGAACTGAACTAGAACTGAACTAGAACTGAACTAGAACTGAACTAGAACTGAACTAGAACTGAACTAGAACTGAACTAGAACTGAACTAGAACTGAACTAGAACTGAACTAGAACTGAACTAGAACTGAACTAGAACTGAACTAGAACTGAACTAGAACTGAACTAGAACTGAACTAGACCTGAACTAGAACTGAACTAGAACTGAACTAGAACTGAACTAGAACTGAACTAGAACTGAACTAGATACTGAACTAGTACTGAACTAGTACTGAACTAGAACTGAACTAGAACTGAACTAGAACTGAACTAGAACTGAACTAGAACTGAACTAGAACTGAACTAGAACTGAACTAGAACTGAACTAGAACTGAACTAGAACTGAACTAGAACTGAACTAGAACTAGAACTAGAACGAGAACGAGAACTAGAACTGAACTGAACTGAACTGAACTAGAACTGAACTAGTTATTCATTTCTCTATTTTCCCTCAATTCATTATTCATTCTTGTTTTTTTACTTTTTGTTTCTTTTGATTTCAGGATTCTGTTTCATTCTATCAAAATCTTATTATACATCGAAATCATACTTCGTTATCGAAAATAAACATAAAATGTTTATACAAAATTAAAAAAACAAGAACAACAATATTAAAACACAAAATTGTGAAACGTGACGCCTTGCCTGAAGATTTCCAAGAAGATGTGTAAGTTTTATGCTAAAAAAAAGTTTGCAAATAAAAACTTTAAGAACCTCCCCGAATTTCTATTTTTTAAGAGATATTGAAATTCTTGAGACAGTAGAACAGAGAGCTCCTGAACCTCAAGTTCTAATGGAAGTACGACAAAATGATCAATTAATTGATGGTATGGTAACTGTCATACCCGGTACTCCTCTTGTAATGGAAATTAAACTTGATGAAGCTAGTAATGATATTTATGGTTTGAATGTCAACTATTTGCAAGTAACAGATATGGCGGAAATGTCTGAGACCATATTATTTAAGGGGTAAAATCATTAAATATTTAACATTGTTTTTTTTTTTTTAATTTTAAACTCGTTTTCAAAAGCTGCACAGTGGATCCTTATCTTTTTGAAAACTTTAATCTTACGGATCAGAAGTCTTTAAAATCTAAATTTCGAGCTTTTAAATTTCCCAATACAGCATTTGTACAATTTCGTGCAAATGTGAAAATTTGCTTACAAAAGTGTGCTCAACCTCAATGTATAGGCAGCAACTCCAAACAGTCTCGTAAAAGACGTAATCTAAATGATCGAGAAAACCACGTCTATGAGATTTTAGCTAGATTTGTTATAAAACTAAATGAAACCTATCAAAGCAATGAATGAAAATTAACATTTTTTAATGCTTTTTCTATTACAGCTGAATTGCAACAACTACAAAATCATGTTCAATTATTACATACAAAAAATTTACATCTTATTACTTGAAAAATAACTTTACATTCCCATGCCATTTAAAGAAAAAAACAAAATTGTACATTGAATGTAAAAAATTAATAATAAATTAATGTTTTATTACACACCCCCCATGGTTGTTTAAATATTATAACGTTATTGACTTCTTCATCTTTAACCAATAATAACTACAAATAAAAATGTTTTGGTAGTAATTTTTAAATGTTCTTCTTTAGTTTTTTCTTCTCGACTCTTTTTACAAATAATCAAAAATAATCTTGAAAAACCACAACTACTGAATGACCTGTATTTAATACACCGATTGCTTAAGGAAGGGGGACACGGTATAGCGAGTACAACTTTAAACATAAAACAATAATTTACTGTTAACGTCTGTTATGGAACATTTATTGCACGTTGCTGCTTCTTGTGCTGCCGCATTTACGCAAAATTATTCTTTTTCTACTGTTTTATTTGTAATATTTAACAGAAAACTTAAATTTGTATTCCCAACACATGATTTTTTCTTCGTTTTGTATTGTATAATCAGTTTTGTTGTGTCTGATGGTTTGTAGTTTGGTTTCGAAATGACATTAGATAAACCTGGTAGTATGAATTGATCCAATTTTTTGGTGCACCTAGTATAACACCTCATTTGTAATGGACTGAGAATCTAGAATCACTTCACGTTCAGTTCTAGTTCAGTTCTAGTTCAGTTCTAGTTCAGTTCTAGTTCAGTTCTAGTTCAGTTCTAGTTCAGTTCTAGTTCAGTTCTAGTTCAGTTCTAGTTCAGTTCTAGTTCAGTTCTAGTTCAGTTCTAGTTCAGTTCTAGTTCAGTTCTAGTTCAGTTCTAGTTCAGTTCTAGTTCAGTCTAGTTCAGTTCTAGTTCAGTTCTAGTTCAGTTCTAGTTCAGTTCTAGTTCAGTTCTAGTTCAGTTCTAGTTCAGTTCTAGTTCAGTTCTAGTTCAGTTCTAGTTCAGTTCTAGTTCAGTTCTAGTTCAGTTCTAGTTCAGTTCTAGTTCAGTTCTAGTTCAGTTCTAGTTCAGTTCTAGTTCAGTTCTAGTTCAGTTCTAGTTCAGTTCTAGTTCAGTTCTAGTTCAGTTCTAGTTCAGTTCTAGTTCAGTTCTAGTTCAGTTCTAGTTCAGTTCTAGTTCAGTTAGTTCAGTTCTAGTTCAGTTCTAGTTCAGTTCTAGTTCAGTTCTAGTTCAGTTCTAGTTCAGTTCTAGTTCAGTTCTAGTTCAGTTCTAGTTCAGTTCTAGTTCAGTTCTAGTTCAGTTCTAGTTCAGTTCTAGTTCAGTTCTAGTTCAGTTCTAGTTCAGTTCTAGTTCAGTTCTAGTTCAGTTCTAGTTCAGTTCTAGTTCAGTTCTAGTTCAGTTCTAGTTCAGTTCTAGTTCAGTTCTAGTTCAGTTCTAGTTCAGTTCTAGTTCAGTTCTAGTTCAGTTCTAGTTCAGTTCTAGTTCAGTTCTAGTTCAGTTCTAGTTCAGTTCTAGTTCAGTTCTAGTTCAGTTCTAGTTCAGTTCTAGTTCAGTTCTAGTTCAGTTCTAGTTCAGTTCTAGTTCAGTTCTCAGTCAGTTCTAGTTCAGTTCTAGTTCAGTTCTAGTTCAGTTCTAGTTCAGTTCTAGTTCAGTTCTAGTTCAGTTCTAGTTCAGTTCTAGTTCAGTTCTAGTTCAGTTCTAGTTCAGTTCTAGTCTAGTTCATTCTAGTTCAGTTCTAGTTCAGTTCTAGTTCAGTTCTAGTTCAGTTCTAGTTCAGTCTAGTTCAGTTCTAGTTCAGTTCTAGTTCAGTTCTAGTTCAGTTCTAGTTCAGTTCTAGTTCAGTTCTAGTTCAGTTCTAGTTCAGTTCTAGTTCAGTTCTAGTTCAGTTCTAGTTCAGTTCTAGTTCAGTTCTAGTTCAGTTCTAGTTCAGTTCTAGTTCAGTTCTAGTTCAGTTCTAGTTCAGTTCTAGTTCAGTTCTAGTTCAGTTCTAGTTCAGTTCTAGTTCAGTTCTAGTTCAGTTCTAGTTCAGTTCAGTTCAGTTCAGTTCAGTTCAGTTCTAGTTCAGTTCTAGTTCAGTTCTAGTTCAGTTCTAGTTCAGTTCTAGTTCAGTTCTAGTTCAGTTCAGTTCTAGTTCAGTTCAGTTCAGTTCAGTTCAGTTCTAGTTCAGTTCAGTTCTAGTTCAGTTCAGTTCTAGATCAGTTCTAGTTCAGTTCTAGTTCAGTTCTAGTTCAGTTCTAGTTCTAGTTCAGTTCTAGTTCAGTTCTAGTTCAGTTCTAGTTCAGTTCAGTTCAGTTCTAGTTCAGTTCTAGTTCAGTTCTAGTTCAGTCTAGTTCAGTTCTAGTTCAGTTCTAGTTCAGTTCTAGTTCAGTTCTAGTTCAGTTCTAGTTCAGTTCTAGTTCAGTTCTAGTTCAGTTCTAGTTCAGTTCTAGTTCAGTTCTAGTTCAGTTCTAGTTCAGTTCTAGTTCAGTTCTAGTTCAGTTCTAGTTCAGTTCTAGTTCAGTTCTAGTTCAGTTCTAGTTCAGTTCTAGTTCAGTTCTAGTTCAGTTCTAGTTCAGTTCTAGTTCAGTTCTAGTTCAGTTCTAGTTCAGTTCTAGTTCAGTTCTAGTTCAGTTCTAGTTCAGTTCTAGTTCAGTTCTAGTTCAGTTCTAGTTCAGTTCTAGTTCATTCTAAGTTCAGTTCTAGTTCAGTTCTAGTTCAGTTCTAGTTCAGTTCTAGTTCAGTTCTAGTTCAGTTCTAGTTCAGTTCTAGTTCAGTTCTAGTTCAGTTCTAGTTCAGTTCTAGTTCAGTTCTAGTTCAGTTCTAGTTCAGTTCTAGTTCAGTTCTAGTTCAGTCTAGTTCAGTTCTAGTTCAGTTCTAGTTCAGTTCTAGTTCAGTTCTAGTTCAGTTCTAGTCAGTTCTAGTTCAGTTCTAGTTCAGTTCAGTTCTAGTTCAGTTCAGTCTAGTTCAGTTCTAGTTCAGTTCTAGTTCAGTTCTAGTTCAGTTCTAGTTCAGTTCTAGTTCAGTTCTAGTTCAGTTCTAGTTCAGTTCTAGTTCATTCTAGTTCAGTTCTAGTTCAGTTCTAGTTCAGTTCTAGTTCAGTTCTAGTTCAGTTCTAGTTCAGTTCTAGTTCAGTTCTAGTTCAGTTCTAGTTCAGTTCTAGTTCAGTTCTAGTTCAGTTCTAGTTCAGTTCTAGTTCAGTTCTAGTTCAGTTCTAGTTCAGTTCTAGTTCAGTTCTAGTTCAGTTCTAGTTCAGTTCTAGTTCAGTTCTAGTTCAGTTCTAGTTCAGTTCTAGTTCAGTTCTAGTTCAGTTCTAGTTCAGTTCTAGTTCAGTTCTAGTTCAGTTCTAGTTCAGTTCTAGTTCAGTTCTAGTTCAGTTCTAGTTCAGTTCTAGTTCAGTTCTAGTTCAGTTCTAGTTCAGTTCTAGTTCAGTTCTAGTTCAGTTCTAGTTCAGTTCTAGTTCAGTTCTAGTTCAGTTCTAGTTCAGTTTAGTTCAGTTCTAGTTCAGTTCTAGTTCAGTTCTAGTTCAGTTCTAGTTCAGTTCTAGTTCAGTTCTAGTTCAGTTCTAGTTCAGTTCTAGTTCAGTTCTAGTTCAGTTCTAGTTCAGTTCTAGTTCAGTTCTAGTTCAGTTCTAGTTCAGTTCTAGTTCTAGTTCAGTTCTAGTTCTAGTTCAGTTCTAGTTCTAGTTCAGTTCTAGTTCAGTTCTAGTTCAGTTCTAGTTCAGTTCTAGTTCAGTTCTGTTCAGTTCTAGTTCAGTTCTAGTTCAGTTCTAGTTCAGTTCTAGTTCAGTTCTAGTTCAGTTCTAGTTCAGTTCTAGTTCAGTTCTAGTTCACTTCTAGTTCAGTTCTAGTTCAGTTCTGGTTCAGTTCTAGTTCAGTTCTAGTTCAGTTCTAGTTCTAGTTCAGTTCTAGTTCAGTTCTAGTTCAGTTCTAGTTCAGTTCTAGTCAGTTCTAGTTCAGTTCTAGTTCAGTTCTAGTTCAGTTCTAGTTCAGTTCTAGTTCAGTTCTAGTTCAGTTCTAGTTCAGTTCTAGTTCAGTTCTAGTTCAGTTCTAGTTCAGTTTAGTTCAGTTCTAGTTCAGTTCTAGTTCGGTTCTAGTTCAGTTCTAGTTCAGTTCTAGTTCAGTTCTAGTTCAGTTCTAGTTCATTCTAGTTCAGTTCTAGTTCAGTTCTAGTTCAGTTCTAGTTCAGTTCTAGTTCAGTTCTAGTTCAGTTCTAGTTCAGTTCTAGTTCAGTTCTAGTTCAGTTCTAGTTCAGTTCTAGTTCAGTTCTAGTTCAGTTCTAGTTCAGTTCTAGTTCAGTTCTAGTACCCAGTAAAGGTAACCAGTAAAGGTTCCCAGTAACAATCCTTCTGAAGTTAAAAACTAGTAACTAATTGTTGTCTCTTCGAAATTTTATACCCAATGTAGGGTATCAAACAGTTTATATTCGCAAAAGTGAAGATATCATTGTTGATACCTCTAATGTTTTCCATGCACGTAAACAAACGAAACAATACAAAATCGTTAAAGATTCTGGTAAAAACGCATCGTTGTAAATGTTTAACATGTTTAAAATGCGTAAATGAAGGAGAAGTTGCTAAACATCAATATAATAGATATTTAAAGTTTTTTCTTTTAGCTCTTTTGCGAGAAATGATAAAATCTGTTGAATGTTTATGAGGAAATATTGTTTTATTTTTCGTTATTTTTATGAGGTTGTTAAACGAATTTTATGGGAGTTTTCGAAATTGCAAATGTAATAGAAAATGTATGAAATAAAATTGTAGTTTGGTGTAATCGGAGGGAAATTACTAAAAACAAGTACCAAAATTTCATGTTTCTAGACAATAACAGCACGCAGCTTCATCCATAACGTATTGCACTCGCTCTGTTTTGTTGTTATAAACAAGCAAAATAAGTACAAAAACAATATTTATATGATGATGATGTTTGTTGTTGTTAATAATGTTCGTCTAAGCATGCCCAATAAATCTCAATATATA